TTTTTTTTCTATCGGTAACATCTGAATTCAATCGACTCTCATGTTTCGGGTTATATATCGGACGATACCAAGTAATGCCCATCTGGTACTATTGGATAGACATAGACGATAATCTTTGCATAGCATCCGCTAGGGCATTATTATTGATGGATCGATCTGAAATAACATTACAATACTGACTGCTGATGCCACAAGTGCTACTCATTAAAGCCTGCATGTGTTTCTCTAGGTTTCTTTCTTTTTTTTTGAAAATCGAAAAGTAATTGAGTTAGTCACAATTTAAAAAATGACGATGATGACATTGTTTGTATTCGACTTTTATCGAAAAAATCATTTCCGTTTGTCGCATATTGATAAGGTTTTTTTTTATTCTCTTGCTATCGTTTCTCTTCTCTTCTCTCTTCGTTCTCACTCCATCATATACTATTGTTCTGTATTTTGACCCCGCCCGGAGGTGTATTGCCCTCGATCGTCTTTTTTTCCCTCTATGCTGTTCGATGGTCGTCGTTCAATCTGTTTCTTCATCGTTCTATATTCTGTTGTCCATTCACGAGTACAATCAATGAAAAGGAAAAAAAATTTGCCTTCTTTCTGTCTCATTCTAATATTGAATGAATGTCTCGTTTCTGTTAAAGAAGGAAGAGAACATTGCATTGGCTTTGCTTCAAGATAATTTCATTCCATCACTCGTATAATGCCGCACATATTTTCTTTATTCTCATTTTAGATGAAAAAACAACATTGAATGAACTATTGAACATCATCATGTTGATAAAACTAAATCAATGGACAATATCGCGTGAGTATATTTATATAGATTGATATGTATTTCGTATTTCGAATCATATGATTGAATTTAATTTTCTTTTTTGTGTCACTTCAACGAACACAATTATAGTTCGTCTCAAGATGGTCACTATTGATATAGAAAGACAAGACATTTTGTTTCTTAACAACTTCCATTTAAGTACAATGAGAATGTGACGATCGTATTTTTCTTGGGTTAAATTAGATAAAATTCAGCTGAAATGTTTTCCCTTTTTTGATGAATAGAATGTATGCATTTCCATATCAGATGTGATCCGTAGGCATATTTGTCCAATGTGTCTGTGTATATGATAATGTTGGTGTGTCAAGCTTATCAATCGCGATAGATGAAAACAGCCGATATAAACATACATATACAAAAGAAGAAATGAGTATGTTTACGTGACACATGAAAAAGGTTTAATGCTTATACATTTGATGTTCATTGAACTCTTGTTTTTTTTTCATGGTTGTTTACACAAAAAATTGATGAATTCTTTTTTAAAAACATTTCTAATATTATTTTTATTTAATTTTCGTCTTTAAGTAAAGTTGATACTGAAAGAACAGAAAAAATTAATTATTGGCATGGTTATTTCATATATAAATATTGACAGAAAGTGATAGTTAATTACTACGTGCAAAGAATAAAATAATCTTTCCCTCTACTGCAATAAATTGATTATTCTTGATTAGTACCTTGGATTGTACATGTGTTTTTTATAGTCAAGATTGCATGTATATATATATATATATAATTTATTGATGATTATGTAAGCATATATATGTATTTTTAGTTTTATATTGTACAAATCTATGATGAATACTCATATAAAATTGTTCATATTTATAATCATTTTTTATTTATCATTGATATTATCTGTTCAAACGGTATATGGTCAATCAATGTCATGCTCATGCAATTTAGATACAACAGGTATGACAATGGTTTGTACCAATGTTCATTCACTTATTGCTTATCAACAATGTATGCATGAACAACTTAATATACAATCAGATTTTAAATTAAGACGTGGTGGTGTTATTACAAATTTAACAATTGTTCATCATCAATTACGTAGTTTATCTAGTGGTTTACTTCAATTTTCCTATGGACACAATAATGTTTATCAATTGAGTGATTTACGATATTTATACATTATGCATGGTACATTAAGACATATTGAAAATGGAGCTTTAGGGTTAATTGAACGAGCTCTTGAATATTTTGATTTATCGAATAATGAACTTCAACATATGCCTCAAAATGAGAATGAACAATTTAGCAATCTTATGTAAGTATTTTATTTGAATAAATAATTTCAAATTATGTCATTTTTGATATATATATATATTTTGTTTGAACATAGGAAACTTGTCCTTTCAAATAATCAAATTCATCGTTTAACAATATCAGATATACGAGTATATAATCGTTTACAACAACTTGATTTATCATTTAATCGCCTTCAATATGTTGATATGTTATTAATTAATCATTTAAAAAATTTAAAAAAATTATTTTTAAATTCGAATATGTTAAGAACATTAACAAATAATATAACATTTCCAAATAATTTTCATTTAAAATTAAGTTCAAATCCATTAGAATGTGATTGTCGTCTTCGTTGGTTACGTAATGCATTAAATCGTGTTGAATATCCTATTTATCATGATGAACCACAATGTGAAATGCCTAAAGCATTGGCCGATAAAAAAATGGTTACATTACGTGATGAACAATTTGTTTGTGGACCAATAATATCAAAACCTGACTTGACTATGCTTTCTACAACTACGGGTGAAGTTGCAACACTTCGATGTGATGTAAGTAAATCAAGATTTATGGTCATCTATTAACTGAATATTTCTCATATTTTACTAATATATTGTGTATACGAAAGGCTTGACATCTGAATTTGGTGATTTACAAATTACTTTCTGGCATTATTCCCTGGATAATATCACTTCTGAAGTTGAGATAAATATGACATTGCATACCATTGATAATGTTAATACTGATCTGGCGATAATAATCAGACTTATGTAGCTGTGGTTTTTATCAATTTCGTTGATAGTAAAAATGTGCGGGATCGAGATTACGAGAAAAAAAATTGCTGCAACCGAAACTAAAGATTGTAGTTAAATAATCTATGGTTTTAAGCGAATTGTCTTATAAATCAGAGCATAATTCAAGAGAGCAGATCCAAAAAGGAATGTTAGCTGACAACTAAATAAATAAAAAAAAACGAGCATCGAATAATATTAGATGTAATATGAATCAATTTTGAAATAATTTTCTCTAGGTCAGAACGAAAAAGTCTGCTCCTGCATATCTCTAGTTGAGAGTCAGCATCCAGTAGTAATACTTGGTCATATAATAGACCGTCATCATTGAGTGGTTATATTGTTCGATGCATATCCACAAGGTATCCTACTCAAATCTCGGTATTATTAGCCATGGAGTGACCCTGAACAAATCACAAATCGCTGTTTGTCTAGAATCACTTGTTCGATAGTATGTTCTTGTGGCTAGTATATAGTTAGTTATTGTGTATGGAGAACTCAGGAACTCAGCATCAGACTAGTCTTCTGTTCAAAGCTATAGCTAGTCATAGTTGTAGGATAGATATCGAACTAATGAATTTGCCACTAAATAGTACTCTATACTCCAAGGTAGGAGTACTTTTCCTTATTCTCCTTCCTACCGTATGATAATCAGTTCTATTTTTTTCATATGACTAGTTTCTTCTATCAGAAAGATGTATGTATTAAGTTTAAAAACGGTTTAACATAGTAAATTAATAAGAAAAGAAAAATACTCTTTAGGTCTATTCTGATCCAGCACCTGATGTATGGTGGACATTTCAAAATAAAATTATTGGAAAGATTATATCAACTGTCAATGAACCTGATATTCACGCTGGCTCATATACAATACGTTTTTCATGTTTATCATCTTATAGTGAACAATCATCTTTAACATGTCTTAATAAAACAACAACATTAACCATATCCAATATTGGCACAGAACATAATGGAACATATAATTGTGTTGCTGCTATACGAAATCAAGGACGTTCAGATAATGAATATCTTTCATATGAATTACATGTTCAACGATCATCATCATTAACTGATAGTTCACTTGTTATTTGGATTATTGGAATATTTCTTTTATTATTTCTTTTAATTATTCTT